TCTCTCTCTCTCTCTCTCTCTCTCTCTCTCTCTCTCTCTCTCTCTCTCTCTCTCTCTCTCTCTCTCTCTCTCTCTCTCTCTCTCTCTGTGGGTCTTTTCTGCCCCTCACCTCTCTCTTTGTGTCCAATATTCAGCACTGAATTGGGGTGCGGGTCCAGCCGAAGAAAGGGGTCTCAACAGCAAATCTCCCCCCCTATGTTATCGATTGTGGGCTGCATAGCATAGTCCTCTATTCCGAACCCTGCGTAGTCTAAAAAATCGCATCGTTCGCAGATTCATCCTCTAGCCTAGAGGGCTGTTGTCCATCAAAGTAGCACCACAGCCTTTCAATAAATAAGCTCAATCTACAAATGAGAAGGGTTGGCAACACGAGGGTGGTCTTATGCCTCGAGCCATGTAGCTCTTCTGTGGGATTAAACCTCCCATCTCTTATGACGCTTCACGAGTTCAGTACTTCAAAAAGATCAGATCCAGGAGTGCCTGCCTTCCTGACGAAGGCGAGGGTGAAGGCGTCCAGGTAGCATGCCGACACCAGTCCTCACGTAGAAGAAAACATGACGTGGGGTATCTTTCATGGGCGGTGCGGAAATCCTCTGCACTTGGGTCTGTTGCCCTTACGCCCAACTCCCAGGCCCTTGACGTAAAGCCGTTGGTCGAATCTATGGACCGTTTGTAAGGGCTGAAGACTGCAAGAGAGCGCTGAAGGTTTTGAGTGTGTCTGCAGGCCTGGATGGCCCCAAGGCATGTTGTAGGCAGTCAAATGGCCTTATTGAGTTCAATCAATTATATTCGAAATTCCGTTGCTCATTCTATTCAATCCCGTTCATTCCCACTGCATTCCTATTCCCATTCCTATTCCCTTCTCTCGTTCCATGCCAACTCGAACCCATTCGGTTAAATTCAATTCTCCTTTAAACTGCTAGTACACAGCTCCAGCCTTGCAGAAAGTTTTAGTCGCCACAAGCAAAACTCAGAGGCACCGCGCGGCCAGGCCCGCCATTGAAAAAATAAATCGGCGGCCTCCAAAATGGTGCGGATTCATGCTGACACCGGCGGGCTGATATGTGGTGTTCTGGTGCTTTAAACTGCCAGTTCTTGGCACAGCTATTTTTCCTCAAGCTGGGCCGTCCGTTCATGTGTCAGGACCTTTGGGGGTCGGGACTGGCGTTGATGAATTTCATCAACGGCCACTAAAACGATCCACCTCCCCTTGATTCCCTGCCATTTGATTCCAATTCCAAATTCCAATTCCAATTCCAATTCCAATTCAAAGTTTAAACCCATTCACTTCTGTTCGTTCCACTTGAACCAGCAGTGCTTGGCCCAGCAATACCTTACAAACTGGGCCGTTGGCAGAATCCATTTACGGCTATTTTTCATAAGCCGCCCTGCGGCCTTTTGGAGGTCGGGGTTGTCATTGGGGAATTTCATTAATGGCCACTAAAACAGCCCCCACCGCCGAAGGTTGCTATGATGACCCACGGCAGAACACTGGGCGGCCAAGTACTGGTGGTTTAATTCTATTTCATTGGAGCTCAATTCCATTTCCACTCACATAGATAGATGGATTTAATTCGGTTTGTTGTGAGCTAGACTTACGGCGTGCTAGAAAATACGTGCAAGCAATTTCACACCATTGTGTATGTGTGTGTTGTTGGCTGGATGGCTTCAGCACAAGTGTTACATTGTGGCAACGTGCGATCGGGATTTGAAACGACGGATAAGAAAGGTACGTGATCCGTCGTCCTCTCTCTCTCTCTCTCTCTCTCTCTCTCTCTCTCTCTCTCTCTCTCTCTCT